GAGACCGGGAGATGGCTTTACAAAGATTGGCTTGGTACAGACAATGCGGACTCATCCCCACCCCAGCAGTACGCAGGGCAGCCCTAACAGCTGGTGGCACGTTTAACAGTGCCAAAGGAGAAGGGCAGCATGAGAGTGATTCAGATCGCAGAGGAGAAATTCTAGTAAGAAGGGCAAGGTCTTACTCTTTGAAAATACTTTGTGCTCAATAGGAATAAGAGACTCAACTTACTTAGTAACTAGACAGTACTTAACCTTGAGCTTCGGAATTATGAATAGCTGAAATTTCTCCTCTTATCTCATATTCTTCTCTAAATTATTTTATATTATACACATATAACTATTAATTACAAAATATAATAAAGTACAGTTTAAATAAAAAGTATTGCGTAGACATTTCTTGAAAGTATCAGATCTATTGCCCACAGATGTCTGTAGGGTACCAGTTTATTTCTTCCACCACATATTTGGTATTTCTGATCATATTATTTAGTCTCTGTGTTACTAGAATACTGTAGAAACCCACCATACATCCATTATAATACATTCCAAGTCCTGGAAATCAACACAGGTTAACAAGTGTATGAGTTCTTTACAACTTGGGTTTTGTCTATGTAACTCCCCAAATCCAAAGAAACTCCAAGACAGCTCTCTTCTTGTTTTTCAGAATACAGACAAGGTCCAAGTGCTTTCATGACTATCATTATTACCTTATTTCTTGACATGTGAGGGACTGAACAAACATGCAGACAATTCAAACCTCTTTAATAAGACTTGAAGTTGAGTCCAGGTGGCAGTGACACACACCTTTAATCCCAGCACTCGGGAGGCAGAGGCAGGCAGATCTCTGTGAGCTCGAGGCCAGCCTGGTCTACAAAGCGAGATTCAGGACAGGCACCAAAACTACACAGAAAAACCCTGTCTTGAAAAACAAAAACAAAACAAACAAACAAACAAAAAAAAAGACTTGAAGTTGCAATCATGCATGTCTACTCTAGTGGTGACTGTGTTAAATGTGTTGAAGAAGGTGCTGCTGTCACATTCATACCGAATCAGATAATATGGGATATGTACACTCATTTTTTTTTGTTTCTTAAGACAAGGTCTCTCTGCATAGCTCTGGCTGTCCTAGAGCTTGCTTTATAGACCAGGGCGGCCTCTAACTCAGAGATCTGCCTGCCTCTGCCTTCCAAGGGCTGGAATTAAAGACATGCGGCACCATCATCCGGCTGTGTGTGCAGGTTAGGTAAGACAGAAACAGTGTAGTATTCATGGTCATTCAGGACATTGACAAGGAAAGCCCTGCAGGGAGACAGGAGTGAGAGCCTTGTGGCTCCAGGGCTCCAGGAAATACCAGAGTACTCTGCCGCAGCATCCTTTGGGATAATGAGTTCACACATCTATCTCTACAACTGTATGATTTTATGAGAACTGCCCAAACACAGAACTGATTCTACATCATTTTCCCTAAAGGCTTCAAAGTTTTGCTATTACAACCAGTACCACTAGCAACTTGGTCTCACAATACTATGTCTTTGCAAATGAATACCTTAGAAGGATTTTTCTTGAAAACACTGATAGGTTCAAAAAGCAATCCTGTAGTCACTCTTTTTAAAAAGCACCTTGTTTTGGTAGTTTGGGGAAGACTTAAATTTTAAAGACAATGTCACTAGGTATCAAGGTATTTGAGGTTTTATAGAATTAAATGCTTTTCTAAGAAAAACATTTTTTACATGACAAAAATAATCTGTAGTCACAGTTTATGTGTAACTAAAAGGGTGGAGCATATATTTTTACCAGATGCTCTTCAGAGAAGCTACAGGGGAAATTTAATCATTAAATAAGCATTCACTGAAGTCAAAGAAATTTTGAAACAAGACTGTGGGCAGACCACATCAGGAATCAAATAATCATTTTAGTGTGTCTAAACATCCTTTATGTAGACTCACTTATTTCCTCTCTGCCTCCTTGAAATTTCTGTTGATGAGTAATAAGCTGCTTTCCATACGGGGGACACTGAGGCCTGCTACATAATGCTCAGGTCTGTTTCTGCTTTTTCTCAGGTGCATGGGAAGTAAAAATTTTTTCATCTATTTCGTGAAAGAAGCAAAAATAATTGAATACTTTTATGTGCTTCAGACACAGCTGAGCTGTCTGCGTTTTACAGTCAGCATGTGACCACAAGGCCTCTCTCTTTCTGCTAACTATAAAAGGTCATTGTGTGTATCATAAAGACGAGCGACTCCAGAGTTTCAGCTTACAGCTCCAAGACTCAAGTTAAATAGCTTAATCATGCCAGTCATTAGCTACCCTCAGTCGTTGCCTGAGTCCAGAGAGCAGTCTGCCAGAACCCAGGGAGCTGCAAAAGCAGGCCTGCTCTATGCGACCCCTGAGCCCAGGAGGCTAGTTTAAAGGAAAATTATATGTATTCTACATTAAGGAGGGGAAATGCCCTTGACTTTATGAAACTCTTTTTTTTCCTTATATAATAAAGAACATGTATTCTGAAATCAGTAACTGAGCAAAAACATCAACTTTAACTATAACCAGGCAAATTAGCCTATTTACTCAACATAAATGGGCCACTCCTCTTGTATATAGTAGTTACAATAGTTGTTAAGAGAGATTATGAACTCTAATCTTATAAAAATTATTATGTACATGTAAAAATTCTACTGAAAAAAAAATGCGACCTTGAAATGCTAAAGTTCACGGTGGCAATTTAGGAGTGTAAATTCCTCACTGCTTGCTTGAAAGAAATGAAGCTCTTGTACTTTCATTACTGAAGAGTGGTAATGAAAAACAATTTTCAGCAAGTTTTTAAGGTCAATTCATTAACTGATTAATTTTTATAATTTCTTCTGAAAACATGCTACTGTACATGTAAAATGTCCATAACTCTACCAGAGTCCCGTCTAGTGAATGAGTAACTGTTGGAGAATAGTGATGTAATGCCTGGAAGCCTGGACTGAAAGGACACAACCAACTCTGTGCTACTCAGGAACTAACTTTGAAATCTGCTTTGATGAAAGAGCTGTGGAATTTATGTGAACGGCAGAAAACAGCAAGCTTCTTTTCCATTGGTCCTGATTGTGTCTGCATTTTTTAAGTTTATCGTCTTCTATTCTAGGGTCTTTAAAACACATCGTTTAGGAAGTCTGTATTATTTCATTCCGATCAATTTGTGCTAACATTTCACAATTCATTTTCCTTTTCCCAATAAGAACATCTGGTAAAAGCTTTAAAATTCATCCTAAGACTAATGATAGACTCTGTCATCTGTGGAATGTACTTTAGTCCCAAGAAGTTTCTATTACATTAGGAATAGCATAAGTATCTCAATGTGCGTACACACAGACATATGTTAAAAGTTGGCATACGTCTAACTTCTCATACTTCACCATTCTTATGCTCAAGGCTTACCCTGAATACCAATATGACATTTTTGTGAGGATAATCAGTTTAGGCTTTAGGGGTTTTTTTTGGGGGGGGGGTTGTTTTGTTGTTGTTTTGAGGCAGGGTGTCTTTATGTAGCTTTGGAGCCTATCCTGGAACTCGCTCTACAGACCAGGCCGGCCTGGAACTCACAGAGATCCGCCTGCCTCTGCCTCCTGAGTGCTGGGATTGAAAATATGTGCCACCACACCTGATGAGTTTAGGTTTTGAAGTACAGGTTATCTTCACAATTCCAAGAATTCTTTGCATATATACTTGTAATATTTCATTGACATTAACTCCATAGACTTTAGTTTTCCAATAAAGTGCTGTGTAACTTTAGATAACACCACAAGGCCAGGGAAAATAACTTGAAGATGTACATAACAATGGGATAATGTAATGTTACTTTTAACCTAAACTTACATTTACTCTCTTGGCTCGGTGCTAAGTAGTTGTTTATTACATTTGATGAGGTTTCACTTCTTTGGTGGACTGTGGCCACACTTGGTATCAGGCTCTACGGCTAAGTTGCGAGAGCATCAATGCTGGCTGTTCTCAGTAGCTAATAGGAAACAGGTTTAATTGCTATTGGAATCACCGTGAGCTGCTTTCAGGCCGGCTTTAAGGACTGTTTATAGAGGCACAGTGGTCAGCGCAGGATGCTTGCTTAAAGCAGCCATTCCTTCAACCCTTTTTTTGTCTTGACCAAGGGAAGTTCTGCTGGGTTCAGATACCCAGCCATCTTTTGCTTGTGGCTTTGGGAAGGTTAACCTCATACCATGCTGCAGGAATGGGTGCTGAATCCAGAGCCAACATCATAACGCTATCCTCTGTCATGGACTATTGCGCAGAACTCAAGCTTAATCCCACCAGCATGGAATATCTCTGAAGACTATAACTGACCAAGAAACAGTTAAAGAGAGGCTTCTCTCTATAGATGGATCAAGAAATTATGTTGCCTTAGTAATAATGACAGTCCTTATACAATCACAAAACAAACAAAACAATAACAAAACACTCCAAAACCCACCAGAGTAAGAGCAAACAGAAGCACACAGGAGTGCAGAGCTAAGAGGGATGGAGTAAGACACTGAAAGCCTTGATCACATCTGACACGAAGCCCCCTAGTTCTGGACTTGTATCACGGAATATAGTGTGTGTTTATTATTATGGCAATTTGTGTCAGATTTTGTGGCGTTTAGCTAGGAACATATTGCCATTAATTTTTTTTTTTTTACAGCAGAGGGGGTACTCCCAATAGTGTCTAGAAAATAGATGAAGTACATGATGAGAATCTGCCAGGAGTCAGTCAGTCAGCATCACCCTGAAGCTTTTGCTTCTGAAGTGGCTTCTCAGACTCAAATCATCGTGATGAAAATCACTGAATGCTTCTGGTTCTGATAGGGCTGCTCCAATTTTTACAATTCTAACTCCCGGCACATAAAAAAATACAGTTCATTAAAATAACTACCACAGAATGGCAAAAAGCATGAGTACATCGTTGGGGCATTACAGAATAGACTTTGCAAACAGAAGTCCCCCAGTCTCTGGTCCCCTCTTACCTCTCTCACACTGTGGCCCCGTGAATCCATAGACACAAGCACATCGGTTGGGGCCGATGCAACGCCCACCATTCTGGCATCCATTTTCACAGACAGCTGCACACAAAACATTAAGAAACAGCTCATTAAACAGCACGTCTCCAAGCACAGCAAAATCCTGAAATGATGTGGCCAAGAAAACATTTTATATCCAACTGCTGCTCTAAAATGGGAGCGAATGAGTCTGCTGGATCACTACGTCAGAGATGCTTCAACAATTCATAGATCTTATTATTAATTAAACATTTATTATTAAGATTTTTTTCTTTATCAGATTCACGAGGACTGGCTGGTTCTGATGCCCACAAAAGTCAGAAGATCACTATTCAATATTCTACTACCTGTTCCTCTGGGACATCAGGGGCAAAACACATTGATGTCCCCTCCAAGTGAGGTATGTATCAAAAAATAAGTTCAATTAGTAGACAGAAGTAGGCTGAAGGTGCAGCCACTTGGCTATTTCCTTGCCCATCATCTTTGTCCAGAGAGCATGGGGTGATTTCTGCTCTGCCAATCATAGCAAGAGGACACATACTTGCACAAAAAAAGATTTTCTCCATCCTAAAGCATCATATGTGTCAATGACTTCAGGGTTACTTGTTGCAGTCACACTTTGATACTATGTGCTATATGAACCTCAGGGTTAGCTGTTGGGTCACACTTTGATACTATATGCTATATGAATCTCAGGGTTACTGTTACAGTTACACTTTGATACTATATGCCATATGATCCTCAGGGTTAGCTGTTGTGGTCACACTTTGATACTATGTGCTATATAAACCTCAGGGCTAGCTGTTGGGTCACACTTTGATACTATATGCTATATGAATCTCAGGATTAGCTGCTGCAGTCACATTTTGCTCAACAGCATGATGCTATATGGCTCTGGAGGAGTGTGTCTCCCTAGGAGGCATGTCTTCTGCTTCCTTACCCATCACACGGTATGTTTCTAAGTAGCACTTCTGACCCACCATTGCCTTGAAACATGGGGCAGGCTAAAAAAAAAAAATGTTAGAGGAGTCAATACAAAGGACAGGACAGGCAGAAGGAAGCCCATGAGGGTTGCGAGACAGACTGGGGGTGGACAGAAAAGTCAAAGAGAACAGGAATTTCCCAGAGATCTCTAAGGAGTGTGGAATTCTTGGAATTCGTTGCCAGGATTGGAAAGCTCAATCGTAAACCGTTAACTAGATTTGGATCTAGGATTTCCCAACTGACCAACGCATATATCTTGTGGAAGGAAACCCTAATTGAATGTGATTAATGAAAATGTAAGGAATCTTCTTTCAACGGTATCAAGTGGAAGGAAACTGGAATGAAAGCCACTTTCCCAGCCACATCTTGTTACTGTACCAGCCTTTGGAAAAGACACAGATGGGCTGGGGAGTTGGCTCAGCCAGGAATAGACTTGCACGTAAGTATGAGGGCCAGAGTTTGGACTTCAGTATCCATACAAAAAGTTTGGTGCCTCTGTAATCCTGGCGCGGGGGAGACAGAGACAGGCAGATTCCTGGAGCTCCCTGACCAGCCAGCCTACCTGAATGGTAGCTCCAGCTTCAGTGAGACGTCCCCCCTCCCCTAATAAATAAAATGAACTACTGAGAGAGGCATCTGATCATCTCCATCCTCCAAATGCATGTATATCTCAACACTCCCCTGACGGACAAAGACACAAATGGAAAGAATCTGTCTGCCCCTGACTGGAACCTATAAGAAGGAGGCTGCTTCTCCTGAGTTTCCCAAATCCAGACAAGAGGACAGTACTGATGAAGGTTCAGCTCCTCCTTCAGAAGATAGCCACTTACTTCGTAACCCTAATCTAATTTGTCTGTGCTAGACTACCATGTCCTTTCATTTGCATAATGTGTCTAGAGGTTCAGAAAGTAAAGTTACTGTTCATAAAATATTTATGAGAACATGCGACATGGGTGAGCACCCATTTTAAAATGAGTTAGCAGATAGTTCTGACATTTCTAGTTCCAGATTTCTAACACTGTGAATATTGATATGGATCCTGTGAACGTAAAGTCTGGGACCCAGTGCACTGCCAGTCATTTGCTCCTGTTCCTGTCAATCACAGAAGAAGACCAGTTAGCTGGCCTTAAGATCTTCCTCCAAGCACTGTGGTTACTGATGCAACCTCACCCCATACCAGCCCTTCCCAGCACCTTTTCTACCACTTTGCCAGGCAGATGGGTATCCTAAGCAATGAGTCCTATCCTCCATTCCAGCCTTCCAACCTCCCTGATCCTCAGCATGCCTGCTCCTAATAGCTGGTGGTTCCCCGCCCACCATATTGTGAGGATTAAGTAAACCTGTGTGAAAAGCCAAAGGCTTTTTTTATACTCTTGGAGTGGTGGACTATTTGATTGTTTGTTTTGAGATAGGGTCTCCTTTTGTAGTCTTGACTAGCCTCAAATTCACAGAGATCTGCCTATCTCTCCTTCCAAGTGCCAAAATTAAGAGCATGTGCACCACACATGGCTTCTTTTCTGTACTCTAAATGCTGTTTTTTTTTTTTCTGTGAAATACGCATGAATTGGTGACTTGTTTTCCAATATCCAAAGATTGTACTAAAGAGCAACAACAGAAGAGAACCACCCTGCTATGATGGAGTCCAATCCCCTCTTCTCCTTACTTTAATGCTAGTCTTCATGATGGTTGACTGGGAGTTCTCACCTTGCTAATCATGAGTAGGGGTGTCCCCTCTCTCAGAAGAGGCCCTCAGAGTGCAACCACTTCTCAGCCTTTCTCTGTGATTTTTGGTCCTGTATGCAGCCCTGAGTGGAGGTCTTCTCATATTCAAGATGAGAGTTCCCAAGGACTGTAATGGGGGTGTTGGTGATCACCTAGGGGATTGCTCATTTCTTGGGCTGGACGAAGAACCGGACATCTCAGAAAGAGGGAAGACTGAGCTACTGAGAAAGCCAAACGATCCCTTCTGGATGAGAGGGGCCCTAAGACTAGGAGTCTGCTGAACAGACTCTGGGCTAGGTGTTCAAAACACGGGGATCCTGGTTCATTCCTTTCCCCTCACTGGCTCTGTTTAGATAATGGTCCCATGCAGGGTCTGCCTGCAATGTCCTCTGAGAATAAGAAGCCACCATCACAGGGACCTGGCTTTCCCATCTATCCTCTAAATCTCTCTTAGAAACACAAACCCTTTCATTTACATGTTGCCTGTAGTCATCTTCACACAGTGGCAGAGTTCAGTGTTTGCAACAGAGAAAGCAAGCACTGACACATGTATTATCTAATCTTTGAGCTGGCCTATTCCTGCCTTTACCAGAATATTTTGGTTTGAACTGAATAGTTTTCTTGAGATTGTCTTACACCTGTATAGCCTTAATTGGGAAGCTACATTTCCACCTAGAAGGCAGTGTTAAAAATAATTAGGACAACCACTATGTGCTACTGCTTCAAATCTATTAGAGTGGTTTTAATTAAGGAAGAGGAAGAAAATGCCAGGTATTGGCAAGGTAAGCTGAGCCCTTCTGCTTTCCTGTCAGGCATAACTCAGTGCATCTGTAACAGAAAACAGGGCAGCTCTTCCTCAAACACTCGAAAAACAGAGCATCCCAATGTCTCCCACTCCACTGCTAAGTATGTATATAAAAGAATGGGAACCAGGACTCAAAACAGTTATTTGCAAAAAAATTGTGTTGGAAATAGCATTACTCACAATAGCCAAAAGATGAATTAATATAAATGTTCGTGAACAGCTGCATAAACAGTGATACACACACACACACACACACAGTGGGGGAGGGAGAAACAGGGAAACAGAGGGGGAGAGAGAGAGAGAGAGAGAGAGAGAGAGAGAGAGAGAGAGAGAGAGAGAGTGTTTCTGACAGTAGTAATCTTTAAGAGGAAGCAATTCTGATACATGCTATAGCCTGGATAAAACATGAGTTTATCGGGCTAAGTAACCTGAAAAGGACCAGTGAAGAAAGGACAAATACTGCATTTATATGTCCTTATTATTACACTTGTATAAAGTACCTAGAGCAATCAAAAGCATAAAGACAGAATGACGGGTGCCAGGGCTTGGGGTGGGAAGGAAGTGAGGACGGACCATGACCTCCTGGGTGTAGAGCTCCAGTTTTACAGCACAGACATCTGAAGATGGGGAAGTGATGTCTGCCCTGGAATGTTAATGGATTAATGCCACCGAACTGGAGCTTAAAAGTTTTAAGATGATAAATGCCATGTTATACATGTTTATCACCATGAAGAAACATTTTAAACTGTAACAAAGATAAATAGCATAATTAAAAGCAGACACCCACGTACACTTCACATTGGTTCTTCCATGTTGGAAGTAGATAAGCAGTTCTTAGGGAAGCCCAGAAGTCTAGACTCACATGAAATGTGAATGAAGTAACATGGATGATCTTTCTCGACATGATTCAACATTTTCTAATGCTGTGTTCTTCACATGTACTTAAGATTATGTTAATTTCGGTTGGGCCAGGCAGTGCAGGACTGTACATCTCAACTCCTGGGGAGGCTAAGGCTGGAGGATCACAAGTTCTAGGCCAGTGTGGGCCAGATGGTGAGTTCAAACAAAGCCTGGGTAATTTCAAGTGAGATCCTGTCTCAAATTAAAAAGTAAAGAGGGCCTGGGCTCCATCTCGGCTACGGAAAGCTTGCCTCTCATGTACCAAGCCTCAGACTCATGCTCAGGACTGCAAATTAAAGTAACCCAGCAAACAAAAACATCATAAGTACTCATGAAAGTGTTACAATTTGGTGAACATTAACCAAACGTATTCCCCAGAGATGTGTCACAGCCCAGGAGCTACACTCTACACCCCTCTCCAAACAGGACCATTCCCTTATCATGGTGTGATTCTCTCCAGTGAAGACAGTTTTATTAACTGGTACAGAGACAGAGCACAGTACCATCCTGCTGGCCTGGCAGATGCAAGGCCCTGATGGTAATTTCCAGTACTGCAAGTGGGCAAAAGCTTTGCTAAATGCCTCTTCCTTCACAGTGATGTCTAAACTTTTCAAATATTCCTGCAATCCTGTGTTCTGGTACTAAATGGATTTGAATAAATGGTAATGTGTGAAATTGGCTCTCATGGGGTTAATTTTGAACAATTCTTAAAAATTGTATGTATGGAGGGGGGGCGGGGTAAAGGGAGCTGTAGAATTTCCCAGTATCTTTTACTGTTTTTTCAGGAACATATCTGTGTTCTGTGGTGTAAATACCCATGATGAATGTCAAATTTGATAGCACATCACTAGTGCTCCACATTAACATTATAAGGCACAAAAGCTACTAAGTTGGAAGAATTCCTCCAGGCTAAATTCTCTCTTCCAATGACCACCCATGAGCTTTGCAAGAACTTTCGTTCTGACCAGAACGAAATGGCCACTAAGTCACATTGTTTATAAATAAGTTGTTCCTAAGGTTTCTTACGTTGTCCACAGTAAGTCCCGATGTATCCCTTCTGGCACTGGCAATGGTCCTCAGCACAGGTCCCACCGTTCATGCATCTCACGCTACACTGCTGGACTGTGAAGAACACAAGAAAAATACAGATGTCAATCACCAAATTATACAGTCTATAGACTACATGTCTAACCTGATGACAAATATATTCTAGGTAGCCTACTGATACAAATGTTATAATCCAATAAGTGTTTATCATTTGTTATTGGGTTCAACATGTGGATATACCTCTTACCACATGTGACTTAGTGTATATTTAAATAAACTACCATTCCAGTGTCAAAGGAAATCCCTAGTAGATGTTAGTGGCATAGTTTAGGGCATACAAGAGATACTCATATCCACTTATACAGCAGGGTCTATGTGCCTGCTGCCATGATGGATTTGGAGTCAGTCCTCGTGGAAGCTTGCAGACCAAATCGGTTTAAAATGCTTCAAGGTAATTATAAATAGCAAATGTATAATTATATAATTTGTAAAGTGTATGGAGAAAAATAGTAAGGAGGAGGATGGTCCAGATTCAGTAGGAACTTAGATACAGCATGCAGAAAAAAAATATCACTCTGATGTGATGTTTAGGCTTAGCTTTGAAAAAAACGAGAACCAGCCAGGCATGGGCAGTAGCAAGAAGCAGCTCCTGAAGGATCAGAACCCATCAACCTCAAGACTTTAGGATGCAGAAGGTGCAGAAGGTATCGTGGAGAGGCAGGCAAGGTCAACCAGATAAGGTGGGGCCCCTTGCCCACCAAAGGGTTAAGTATGTCCCAATTGCAGATGGAAGGAAGGGATGCAGTGAAAGTGAAGAGATTTGATTTTAAAAGGTGAACTGCTGTGTGAATGGGGAACTTGAGGATGTCAGGAAGATGGGAGTCTGGAGGAAAGATGAGGATGGCTTGAAGCACATGGCAAGCAAAAGGTGGAGTTGGAATATATTGTCTAGTAGAGTCCGCATATTTAAAGAGTTACATGGAGAAAGAAAAGCTGCAGTTGTATAAACACTGGGTGGGTGACATGGCCACCTGCTGAGGCAGAAAGCAGCTGTGGCCACATAGACTGTGGTCAGCAATGAACTAAGAATTTCCTTTTGGAGGTGAGCTGTAACTGAGGAATGACACCCCAGGTTAACTTCTGGCTTCCATATGCACACACACAGGCACACATGTGTAAGAAAGTGTTCCAGGAAGTTAGTGATAAATCGTGCTAAGAAGCTTTAGCAAGTTCAAGCAGGATGAAGGTTAGAAGGGTTAGAAAAGTTCCTGATGGAAAGAAACTAGCTGTTCTCTAAAGGCCAAACAACGTGTGGCGGCCTGACTTAACCAGGTCCCATGTAAGCATTCCCCGTTCAGGCCTGGACATTAGGAAGCAGCATTGCTTTTGTTTATGTGTTGTTGCCAAGGGTGGGTGTGAGCAAACAGAGACTAAGATAATATAGACCCGAGGAAGGGTCTCTGGCAGACAATCTGGCAGGGGAAATGTGCTCCCGAAGGCACTTGACATCCTTGTGAGTTTGAATGATAAGTCTGAAATCACTGGGAAAACACAGACTATTAAAAACAATGATCCCAGAGGTTTGGGTCAGTGGTCCATCTGAAGACAAACACATTGGTGTGCCTAGTTTGACTCTTATTCCTGAATCAGATGGGTTCTACATTATCCTTGTTTAGCAAAAACCTCTGGAGGCAACCATTACAATGTAACAAGTTCATGCTCATTTTAGGAAGATTTAAAGCCTTTGTTTAGCCATTGAGCAGTTAAGTAAACTATCATTTCTGTCTTATGCTAATGTGATCTTAAACACTCGCACAGAAGGTTAATCTTGGCCTTTGGAGTCCCGCGATTTTCTAGAGTCATGAAAAAAATACATTCTTAGTCTACTTGTTATAGTTACCTTCATGGAATTGTTGGGAATTAATATGTGCAGCAAAGTGAGTTAGCACATATAAAGTATTTGGTCAGTATTTCAGTAAATACCTGTGGTCTTTCTAATCTTCTCTCCCCATAGTTAAGACACAAAAAGAACAGAGGCTGCCAGTTACATACAACAACAACAACAACAAAAAAAAAACAATAAATACAGGCTAGCAATTGGGAGGACAGGGTGAGCAAGCCTTAGTCAGGACACTCAAGTCTGTATTGCCTTGGGTAGGTGAGCTGGTTAGATTTTTGTCAATTTGACACAAACTAGAGTTATCTAGAAGAAATGACTCATTTGACTACCCCTAGTGAAGTTTATTGGACATTTCCTGATTAATGATTGATGTGGAAGGGCCCAGTCCACTATGGGCAATACCACCTAGGCAAGTAGTCCTGGCTGGTAAAGAAGGTAGATGAGAAAGCCGTGTAAGCAAGCCAGTGAGCAGCATTCCACCATGGTCTCTACATCAGTTCCTGACTCTAGCTCCCTGACTTCAGTGCCTACCCTGACCTCCCTTGGTGATGGGCTCTGGCCTGGGAGCTGTAAGATGAAACAAACCCTTTCCTCCCACCAAGTTGCTTCTGGTCATGATGTTTATCACAGCGGCAGATATCAAAGCAGGGCAGTAGGTTAGTTAATACATATGTGCCTCACTTTCCTCCTCTGCAAAATGGGATCATATCAGTATCAAATAAATGTCAATGAGAGGATTATAATAATAATTATAATAATAAATAATGTAAACAATTCACGCAGAATGCTGCGCACAGTGAAAGCTCAGGAAGTTATAGTTATAACAAAGCATTACTTCACGGAATCCTACCCATCCCACCACCGAGACACATCTTCTGTTGTCAATTAGCTACTCGTGCCAACAACTCTTGCACCAAGACTGTCTCCGTTCAAAATTTAACACAGGTCTGATTAGTGAGAACAACCACCAATCCGTATCTTCTTCAAGGAGGACCCTTGCCACTGGTTCACAGGCTTACGGAAAATTCGGAGAATAGAGCCACAGAGAGGCAACATACTTGATTTTGCTCCGCAGGTCGGGGATATTTGTCCACTGGAGCAAGTACACATGTTGGGGCGGGAACAAAATCCATCTCCGCAACTGTTCCGGCAAATGGCTGCAGAGAGCACAATACGAGTGGGAATGAGTGACAGCAGCCTCCACCATGATGCAAAGCCAGTATCTTAAAACCACATGTCTGGAAAACCAGGGTATGATTAATGTTGCAAAACATCTGACTTTCAGTACATAATAAAACCACCCAATGGAGATGCGGGACGAAGTGTTACAGTTTCCTTGTGATGATGTACAAACAAATGAAGCTCTTTTAGAATGCTATAATACCAATTGACGCCAATTCTTTAACTCGATTATCAATACAAGTTGCTTTTTTTTTTTTTTTTGTATTCAAAACTGGTAACTTTTGAATTCAGGACTCACCAAAGGAGGCAGTCTTGATCCCAGGGTGCTGGCAGTGGTGAGGAAACCCAGGGAGACTGAACATCTTAGAAAATAAAACCCACTGCTCAAGAATGTGAAATGGGTAGACAGAGACTCCAGTCCCTAATGAGTTGGCCAAACGTCGGGTTCCCTGCACATTCCATCCCTGCTGGCTCCTGCCCTGCCCTGCCATCAATCTTCAGCCCCTTCATGACTCCTCTCCTTTTTCCAGTCTCTCCTCTGCCGTATTATCACAAACTAAAACCCTCCTGCTGCTCTAAAAAGCCATTCTGATGGGGGGGGGGTGGCTGGGGACTGAAGCTTCCTACAGCTGTGACTTCCAGTGAATATTCGGGTCATCGAAGCCAAGTTTAGGCTCACTGACACAGCACATACCACAGCCACTCAAAATCGACAGTCAAGTGCCTTGGAATGGGAACTCTCTCCCAAATTTAGTCAGGCCATTAAGGAGCTGAAAGATTTATCTCTATCTCCCTAGTTGAATTCCCTCTTTGAGCATGAAGGCGGTGTGCTGATTTGATCTGTCTCTGGATGCAAGAAATAAGAGAAGGGTCTGGGAATGTCCTGAAACAGCATGCAAATACAGCAATGTGCATAGGATCTTTTGCTGGAGAGAGGTCTTGGAGTTTTCAAAGAGACTTGGGACCCCTATAATGTGAGGCCCGCACTCTACAGGAGAAAAACAACTTGGTAATTTCTTCCCTTTTCTAAGATCTCCCTTTAGCATCTGCATAATATGGACAGTGTCTCAACTAGTTGTCCTGAATGAAAATACTGTAAAAATATTATGGTCTTAAGACTTTTTTTTTTAAAAAAAAAAGGCAAGAAAATGCCTTCCACTGTAGAATTAATACTTTAAATATATTAGTTTCTGACCACCGATAGTTTTTCTATGTCAAATGTTAATTAAAATACAGTTTTATTTCAAGGGTCCCTCTTTCTTAGCTGGCAGGTGAATCTGGGCTTAAATGTAGCAGCCCCATTTAGGTCTCAAACCACAAGAAGGTTTGAGGGGCTGGAGCCTGGACATTCTCAGGCAGTGACTTGTCTGTCGAGGCTTCAGTGTGTCCCTGACACAGGCCAGGAGGAAGCAAATCTGAAGAACTCCTTCCTCTGTATGCTCACTTCGGTCTGGGGTCTCATTGCAACTCCTTCATTTTAACTGAAGTGGTGAATCCTGGGCATGCTGGAAGGAGCGGGAGAAAGGTTGTACATCCATACTGGGAGTCTGGTGACGTGAGGAGAAGCCGCATGGGCTGGCACTTAACACATGTGGTACATACATAAGAGGTGTGAAGTTGCGTTCTCACTCTGCCAATGATCCACTGTGAGCACAGAAAATACTCAAAACATCCCAGGGTTCAGTTTTCTCATTAGAAACATAAATGAAAAGAATTACATTGGAAGGGTCTAATGTGTTTTTTTTTTCCCCCATTGGCAAATGCTGTGATGCCAAGCCGATCCCAATCCATTGTTTTCCCACTGATCAAAACACTATTGTGGTACTTTCTCCATAAATAAATGCATAAGCGAACTCTTCTTCCATTATTTCATGTTCTTAGATGATTTTTTTTTTTACAAAAGAAAGCTATAAAGCAGGTTTGGAAACAAACATGGAAATTTGGAAGTACTTCAGTGACATTTCAAGCCACAATTAAGATAATAACAGTTGGGCATGATGTCTCAGGCCTGTAATTGCAGTGCTTGGATGGCTGAGAGAAAGCCTGGGAGGTTCAAGGCCAACCTGAGCAACACAGTTCCATGACAGCAGACGAGCTAGAGATCCTGTCTTTAAAAAACGAATAATAAAGTGACCACAATGAAGTAGAGAACAAAATCATAATGCATCGTGCTTTTTAAGGAACAGACGTTTCTTTACTGTCTTCTTTGCGTCAAGCCTGGTAAGAGGCAAACGTTAAACCTTACAGCTTGTTCTGCATAGAAGGACAGTGGAGATGTAACATATGAGAAAACGGATCACGGGTCTTCATATTATTATCATCATTATTTTGTGAATTGCCTCAGGATTTGTCTTTGCTTCCTGGTGAAATCTAAATAAATTCAACATAGAAATATTTGTTACCAAGAACTTGGGGAATTAAAAATTCCTGGTTTTACGTCTATAATGGTTTTAGTTTCCGTATTTCTCCACCTATGACCTTTGTAAGATGCAAAAACAACAGAATTACTGGATTTAATGCACCTGAACTAGGTGAGGCTCATGCGGCAGGGATGGTACCACAGCTGCACTGCTGATTTTGTGTACAAGTCCACACATTTTAGACTCTCAAGTATGCAAATTATTTTCCTAAGATGTTAATTAACAAATACTACTTAGACATACCAGACATAAATATCATAAATATTTATTGGAGATAGGAAGATAATGTTAAGGTTTGCTTCACGTGTCTCCTTAGCGCCCAAATATGTCAAATAGAAGACATGTGGGCGGCCATACTCACTGTGAGGTGCTCAAAGCTGATCTTTAAAGAAGGAAACGGCACGATGATCGTCAAAGACCCAAAGTATTTAAAAGTGGACACTCACTGGGCCATGCCTAAGCTACAGCTGCAGCTTTGCTGGGAGGCTTTGCTCTCCACAGTCCCCATTCCTTACTGATCCAATAAAAACCTGACTCTACAGATTTTCAACACGTACCGTAAACCTATCCCCTCTCCTCGGCTGCTCTCCAACTCAATAATGGCAGTCACATTCATTACATTTAGTGAGTCAGACTTTCCACAGTGCCTAAGTCATTCCCAGCTAGTGCGGCAGGTGTGTGGTGAGTGACGTTAGCTGTTTCAAGAGTCTGTGGATCCCAATAGTGTGAGGCAGCCACAGCAACGCCCCAGTGGCCGGGAAGAGTAATGCACCTTCTATAAATACTTCACATAGGACTTGCTGTGTGGGAGAGAAGGCAAGTGACCATCCTTCTTTTTTTCTATCCCCCATAAAACCAAAGGTCTATACATACATGGGTTTATTTAAAATATTTATGAATCAATCACTTAAAAGGACACAGTAGCTGCTTCTTATTTTTGTTTCATTACTAGAGGTTGTGGGATTTTTGAATAGGAGAGAGAGAGAGAGAGAGAGAGAGAGAGAGAGAGAGAGAGAGAGAGAGCGAGCGAGCGCACTAATCTTTACAATAAAACTTCAGATTTCTGTTTTTTGAAACAACTGCACAGAAATAGCATTTAGGGTCTGTCTCAAACCCACAAAACCAATAAATATAGAGTCGGAGATGCCACTATACCCACAGTACCCCTTGGCTAGGACAGCTTGCCCTTTTTCTGTTCACAGTGGCATAATTATCTTTCCCTTGGGGAACACCAAGGTCAGCCTAAAGTCATTTATGGGCTGTAAATGCATGTGCTGTCTGTGACCTGGCTGTCCTCCAGAGTGGACAAACGTGGCCGGGCTACATAAACATGCAGGGAAAGACCTATCATACTTCACCCCACAAGCCTGTGAAGTAAGACCTCTCAGAGTCCTTGATCGTAACACTAGAAACTAACGAGTTTAGAACTTGGAGACCGGCATATATACTCTGGAAGCTGAAAAAGTAGCCTGAACCTTTAAGTTCTGATGCACAGACCTTTTCAAGGTGTAAGAGTCATATTTGAGAAAACATACTGTCCACTGTAAGATTTGGCATGGGGAAATTCAAAGTTTAACTGTCCCCTCACAAAAAAAGGGGGGGGAGGAATCTACAACTTAAATTAATTCTCTTGAAAACAAAACAAAACAAAAAACCTGTTAACTTTCGGTCAATTAAAAAAAAATCTGTGAGAGTATTCCTTTTCAATCTTCGCCATGTGGCTGCTGAGGGCAAACCAGAGATGAGGAAGTAGGATAAAGGTCTAAGATTGATCTTCTGATGGCCCAAACCTAGGGGTCCAATAGTGAACTTTATAACACTGCGGTCTTAGCTGGAATTTTTAAAGGAAAGGTGATGTTGCGTCATCTAGGGAATAGCTTTAACACAAAGCCCTCCTTTTGTATCAATACACACAAAAGGTAAAAAACAAACCATCTAAGCATTCTAAACCCTTGATCCACGTCTTCCTCCCAAGTTTCCCTTAATGAAGTCTTCAGCTGATGCGGCTTCCTCCCTGCCACTGAGCTCTTATTACCACGGTTCTGTGACCAATGGCTTTGTATGAGCAACTGGGTGTTCAAACACTGCATGTAAGGTCAGCCCTGTAACAGAGCTGTGCAAGCTGCCCTCAACTGTGGGCCCTGGCAAACACTCACGGACAATGCATTGATTTCCTCCCGGGAGCGTCTTCCATCCAGGGCAGCAGTAAGAGTGGAATCTAGAGCCGCACACGTTGGGCCTGCAGGGGACAAACACGGTGATGTCCACGTAAGGATGGGTGCAGCAGCACACACAAAAAGATCTTCCTAAGCAAAGCCTGAGTGAGTAGGTATCAGGACAAGGAACAAAAATCAAACCCCCCTTCAAATTCTTCGGGCTTTGGGAAGCAGATGTGGAAGTATGGGTAGACTTTAGAATGGGGGAGGGTCCAGAACATCTAAACATCCCCTCTCCTCTGCCCCCCCCCCGCTTGACTTTTTAAACCGAGAGAAGAAACAAGAGACACATAATTTGCTACTATTCTAGAGTCTGGATGCCGAGAACAAAAGGAACACTGCGTTCAGAAATCCTTGCCCTTGTTCCCAGATCCATCCCTCCTTGATCAACTGTTGTCTCTGGCCCCTAAGTGTCAAGGAAGGCGACTTGGAACGCGGAGCGCTGGATCTGGCGATGATCACCAGCAACTGCTCCCGCACACGTCCTCAAACAAAAGGCTCTAGAGCTGCGCCCCCGATGGTGGGGGAGCAGGCAAGACTCCGGGGGGCCCTGCTCAGGGCAGACCCGGGCCCGCTTTCAGTCTGACACTGGGACCCTTTCTCAGCGCCACAGACGTTGCTTAGGCTCTGCCATCCACACCCTGAGGCCCGCTCCCACCGCCAACCAGCCGAAGCCCCCTAGGGAGGGCTTTCCACGGAGCAATTGAGGCTTTCCCGGAGGAAAACGAAGGGCGCTCCTGGAGCTTTTGGGGGTCTTTAAGTGTCCTAGTGGAGGGGACTGCCGCTCTACCCGCCAGCGCGACAGTCAGGGAGGGTGTGCAGTAGAAGGCAGGGAAGCTGAGGTCCCCCGCACAAGCCAGCCACCCCGCCGCCCACCTACCCTCGGAGTATGTCCTGCTGTCCTCGCCTGCGGACGCGGCTCGCCGCTACCGCACCCTCGTCCCGGTACTCGGGCGCCGCGAAGCCGCCTTCGGAGCCCGCTACCGCGGCCCGGACCTGTTGCGGGGGCGGCTGGGGTCGGAGCGTCTTAGGTGGCGGAGGCTGGGGCTGACCCGCTGTGCCCTGCGCCCAGAGCGCCACGCAACCCAGCCACACGAAATAGGGCTGGAGACACGACCGCCGCCGTCTCCCCATCGCCGGCGCCAAGAGCACAGGGACCGAGGCCCGCGGAGAGAGGGGCTGTCGAAGACCAAATCCGCGAGGCCCGGAAAAAGAAAAAAAAAAAAAGTCAGGGTCTGTCTGACCAGCCCTTCGTCAGCTCGCGGGACTCGCTTGGGTGGCGGTGCCCTGGTGGATGGAGCGGGATGCAGCGAGCGTCAGCTCCTGACCCGCAGCGTGCGGAGCGCGGGCTCTAGCGCTGGGGGCAGCGAGGCGCGGCGGCGATGCAGCCGGTAGTCCGGCGAGGTCCACGTTGCATCCCCCGGGCCACTGCCCCGAGCGACTCCAGGACCGCCAGCGGGTGGGGGCGGGAAATTACAAAAGTAACCCGAGCAGCCGCGGCATAAAGTTACAAAGAAAGCGGACCTCACAAGGGAAAAAAAAAGGCGGGGGGTGGGAGGGGGTGCAAGAGGCTGAGCGGATTCCCGTGCGCTCCGGGCACAGATCCTGGAAAGCTGCAGAAGTCACCCAAAGGAAGCAGGCGAGCGAACAAAAGTCACCCCCAAAAGAAGAGGAGGGTCTCCTCGGGGCTCGTTTGGCGTCCTTTGGGGGCAGCTAGGCGCGGGCGGCGGCTGCACAGCCCGGCGGAGGTGCGCGGGGCCCAGGCGGAACGGCTGGCGGGAGGGAGGGCAGGAGGCTGGACGCCGGGGAAGATGCCGCGGAGGAGGGCGCGGCGCCGGGGTTTTAGAGGCCCGGCGGGGCGCGGGGCGGGACAGCGGGCGGCGGCTGTCAGAGGGGGCCGGGGCGCAGCGGTCCACACGTGGAGTGCAGCCGGGACGGAGGGGCCAGCGGCGCGGGGTGGGCGGGGACAACGTTACGGGGCGATCTCCGGCAGAGACCAGGGGAGCGAGCGCTGGGGGGGAGGGGAAGAGGCAGGAAGGGGGGCAGGGCGAAGGGAGTGGAGGAGATTGAGATTGGGTAGAAGTCTGTGTGCTGGGGCGGGGGGCGGGGGGGGGGGGGGGGGGTGCGTAGTTTGAGCGCCCAGTCTAGGTTGGAAGCGGGGCTTCGGATGAGGGATTGGCGAGCCGGGGTGCCAGAGGAAATGAGAGGGGGATGGGGGGGAGGTGAGGGCGAGGAGAGAAGTGGGAAAGGGGAGGGAGAGGAGGGGGCCAGGGCCCGCTGGAGGGGCGAGGCGAGGCGAGGCGGCCAGGCTTCCCGTGCCGCTCCTTGGCCGCTAGCTCTGTTTTGACTGCCTTACAAAGCAAGCAGACGGCGGGGGAGGGGGCAGCCAGCGACCAGGTTTGGGGAGAGACCCCGCAGGGGCCCCTGCCTCTCCTCCTGAGAGCTCCGGGGTCTCGAGGACTGGAGACAAGGGAACCCGAGAGTGCTACTGAACTTCCCCGTGGGACAGAGACCGCATGGTAGAAAATGGGACCCAGTTCTCCTGCAGGGACCGAGACTCTGACCCGAGGTGGGGGGCATTCGCAGTTGGCCAGAGACAGACCCTTACAATGGATCTCAGCTTCTGTCCTGTCCTAGGATTCTAGGCCCTTCGGAGCGCCCTGCTACTCCTACCAGGGACACCATCAATCGGTAGAACAAACGGGCTGGACGTTTCCAGATTGAGCTACATCCTCAGTGTACAGAAGGAATTCGTATCATGGCAAGGAGCCTCGGGCACGCGCTGGCGCCACAGTCACAAGGAGTCCTTAGAGGAGATGTGCTCAGGTGTGACCCCTGGCAGAACTCTGCCTGGGTCCTTAAACGGGAATGTTGTTGGGAGGTCAGTTGGCAGAGTGGCTGGTAAATGGGACTGGGGCGTGGCTTTAGTTTTTGTCCTAGACCCCTTCTGATTAATGATTAAACCTAGCGATTGGTGCGATGAATGGTCTGTAAATTTAGGGTGTCTCTCCCTCAGCTTCTGGGGTCTTTTGTGGCCCTGCTTTCAGGAGGGAGGTGTCTATGAAGCCCTTGCCATCTCTTAGTGGAATTGATGGGACAGGGGACCACACACCTCTGAAAACTAGGAATGAACTAGCAGTTTAGGAAGGGTTCTTGAAAACAGTGTCCGACTGATTCCAGCCCAGAAACCCTTGCTTGAAAAGAAATGAGTGTGCATCCTTGTTTTTCCTAGCCTGGATTGTCCAGATGTGCTATTTGACAGCCAAAAATTCTTGGAGAATTGGCACACCTCCCTCCTTTATTTCCCCAGCGTAGCTGTAGTTGGCAGACAAAGACTCTCAGGTAGTAACCCTTCTAGCAACTACATAGAGCAGGAGGAAAAAGCAGGAGTCACACGGTTTGGGGGAAGAGACACAGGAAGCAACAGAAGTCTTTTTTTTTTTTTTCTTTTTCTTTTTCCTGCATTTTGAGTCAAATAATTGTGTAAGGAGCTAAATAAATAATCTCAGAAGTTAAAGTGGCATTCTAATCTTACCCTGTGAATTTTCGTTTAATACTTAAACGACTTTATATTTCATTCCTGCTTCTTGCATTAAGCCCAAGCGTTCTAAAATCGCATGTGTCTTCACTCTTTCACTCCATAATACCACTTTTAGGAGCCTGCATAAAAATACTCGGAGAAATGCAAAATGATGGCTCCTTGAGGCTATTCATGGCAGCATTGTTGTAACAGCAAAGGACGTAAACATTTCACCAGTGAAGAATTGGCTGCATGCACGCTTAACTCGTTTTATGGATTACTCTGAAAATATAAGGAAAATTATAAGGAGCGCTGTGTGTCCTCAGGAGTGATGTCTAGCAAAGAGAGCTGTGGGGACATCAGCAAGGTGTTGGTAAAACGGGTCATTTATTGAGTCACAAAGTAGGATACACACTACCAGGAACTAGGGAGGGAGAGAATAGTGAGCCGTTGTTCCGCGGTTGCACAGTTTCTATTCCAGATTGTGACAAAGTTCTAAAGGGAGATGGTAGTGATGGCTGCACTTTGGGAGCAAGCCAACCTATTTAATCAAATATGTAATCAAAATGATTAAAATGGCATATTTATATTATATACCATTTTTACTATAATTATTTCAAATGAAAGACCTATGATTTCACGTTGAATGCTGCCTTTTGTCTATGTGTTTGTGCTGTGCATTGTCTTGTAATAGAAGCCTGAGTCAAGTCTAACAGCGATGACTTATGGGGAAATGAGAATGTAGGAGAAACTCTAGAGGAAGCTACAGATAACTCTTGTAGTTTTGAAACCATCTATATGTTTTATGTGATTAAAATAATTGAATTTTAAAGGAACTAAAAGCAAAGTAAAATAAACTGGTTACCTTTACAGCCTAGCCACAGAGTAAGCAGTTAGCCAAAAATCATATTTTGGACAGTAAGTTTCTAGTGAGATATAAATTAGGAATGAAAGACACATAAAGGAGTCTAAAATTTCATTCAGTGGGAACAATGTGTGAGGAAAAAGGAAGAAAGGTGGGTTAAAGCTGTGTGAGCCTGAACTCAAGCCCAGAACTCATGTAAAAGACCAGGTGGAGTGGTGCACATCTGTAATCACAGCATTGCTATGTCAAGATGAGAGGGAAAGGTGAAAGAACCATCTAGAAACTCAGAGCTAGGTAGCCTAGCAAACACAGCAGCAGAACATGGAGAAAGTCTCTGCCTTCATGGGTGGAAAGGTGAAAACCAACTCTAAAAAGTTTTCTGTGACCCCACAATACACTGTGGTGTGTGCACACATGTGTAGTCATGAAATTGTTATGTATTAATGATTTATTTTTCATTTTGAATGGAGAGTTACGGGCATATTTGACTATATATTTAAGTAATATAGTTATTAATATTATACCAACAAAAATGTTTTTTGGTGATAAAATGTGATGTTTCAAATTTGATTTAAACCACTTGGGGAAAAATAAAATGCAGACTGGGTTTTGAAAATATGGGTTAGGTGTAATCTTCTCTATACCCCTTGCTGAACATACTTAAGCTAACACCCTATGGGGAAAGAGGAATCAGTATGCCCAGGAAGTCTCGAAACACTGGGAAGAAGGCAGGCTGTCTAGTGAGCTTGGGACCTGTGGAATGACATGGAAGTGGGTGCCTCATGCATGCCTGCCTGGTGCTGGGGAAGCTGGCAGCTTGGAAATACTAACATCACAGACTAGGAAAGCCTCTATCAACACCTGTCATCTCCAGTAGAAGGGATGAAAGTGGGTGGCCTAGCAGGACCAGAAGAACCTCTTAGAGAACAGCTGTTCTACCACTAAAACATAGAATCAACTGTGGTTGTCCCACACATACCCGGACAGAAGGCAGATGGGAAACTGACCCTCATACTCTACCAAAGTGACCCTCCCACCTCCTACACAGCATCGGAGAAGATCCTGTGGAGAGTGTGACTGCAGTAAGGAACCAGCATGCCACCTCGTCAGTGGAGAAGCTGGACTTCAGACCTGTTCGCCAGAGAAACAAAACCAACAGTAGTATCTATGTGGATATGCATTTACCAGAGGGCTGGCTTACAGAACCACAGACTGAAAAGCCTCTTCTGCCAGCTGAAAATCCAGAGAACTCAACAGCCTGACTCATCCCAGGAAGCCAGATGCCACAGAACCAGGGAGACCAAAAGTAGAGTCTCTGTTTGAGGTCAAAGGCTTGAGAACCTCGAAGGATTCCTATTGCCAGACCAGAATGAAATGTTTAAAAAAAAAAAAAGAGAGAGACCAGTGTTCAATCACTTGTGTCTTAGTTGTGTTTCATGTTGCTGTGATAGAAAATACCCTGACAAAAAGAGCTCAAGAGAGAAAGGACTGATGTGAATTGCGGCTATAATCCGAGTGGGGAGGTCAAGGTGGCGGAAACTTCAAGCAGCTAGTCACATCACATTCACAATCGAGCAGAGAGCAATGAATGCATGCATGCATGCTAGCGTTGAACTTGCATTCTCCTTTTCATTTAGTCCAAGGTTCAGCCCATGAAATGATGCCTCTCACATTCAGGGTGTGTGTTCTCACCTCAATGAACCCAGTTAAGAAAGTTCCCCCTAGACAACATGCCCATGGGTGAACTTGATCTAGACAATCTTGAATTGAGACTTCTTTCCCCAGTGAGTCTAGGTCAGTGGTTCTCAACCTGTGGGTCATGACCCCATTGGGGGTCACACATCAGATATCCTGCACACCAGATATTTATATAACGATTCATAACAGTAGCAGAACTACAGTTATGAAGTAGCAATCAAATAATCTTATGTTTGGGGTCACCACAACATGAGGAACTGTATTAAAGGGTCACTGCATTAGGAAGGTTGAGGACCAGTGGTGTAGATTGTATCAGGTTGATAGCACTAACCACCACAAGCTGGAAAAATTTGTACCTTGCTTCAGAAGGAAGAGCCAGAAGTGTCAGCTCCTCTTTCTTCTGTTTCCTGTGCCTTGGGTACCCAGATAATGAAGTAGTGCTCAACCACACTGAATCTACTCACTCAGCCCACTGACTCCCACACCAGTAATTTCTTCAGTAAACAATTCACAGACACAAGCAGATGTCATGCTCTGCCAGTTTCCTAGACATCCCTCCACCGATCCATTCACATTGACATCATCCAAAACAACATCATCAACAACAAAAGAAACAAAAATCACCATGCATCCAGTCTCTCAGTAATGAGATGCCCCTATCTTATTAGATGGTATGTGAAAAGCTCTAGTAGAGAGAGGATCGTGACTGTGTGGATACCCACACCATGGCACCATCCTGGGGAACA